ACGTGTGCTCTTCCGATCCAGTAGATATCTATTATATATTTTGTTCTGTATGGGAGGGACTAACTTTTGACTGGGACTTGCTCGATAAAACCACCTTAAATGAAAAATAGATGATCGGCTTTGGGGAATGTTTCTAAATAGCCCCTGAGATCACCGTCAAACCCGAATCCCCCGCGATTCGAGATTTAGTTCCGGTTTTTTGAACTCGATTCTCTAGTCATGACGAAAAGAGAATTTCGAGAAAATCTCTCCTCTAATCAGCCACGGCATAGTGAAAAAGACAGGATTCCCTCTTAGCTTGAGAGAAGAAAGAAGAAATGATGAAAAGGAAAGAAGTAGCTCTGACTAGCTATTATTATAGAGACCCGATGGAATGCAGAACGGTCTTGGGCAGGTCATCAGTCGCGTGACCTAATTGTAGTAAAAGAAGTTTCTTTGAAGATGAACGCTAAGCACGCACGCATATAATACGCGTTTCTTTCGATTCTCCGAGAGCTCCGAGATCCGGGAATGGCGCGGAGTATTGCGGCGGGTACTCGTGTATAATTATAAAATTACGTGTTCCCGACTATGGGCGCGTGGAAGTAAGATTTTTCGGAACTGGTTACAGCGACACGGCGCGCGCGCGCGCGCCTCCGGCCTTCTCTCATCGACGGTGAAAGTTTCGCATGGCGTGAAAGTGTGCCTTTCTTCTTCCGTTCACTGATTCATGTCGTCCCGATATATTGAGGAGAGGCAACACACGGGGACAATTTTATTCGTCCCTCGCAACATCAGACTCTGAGATAGGAACGGTAAAAGGATTTTCTCGGGATTTCCGACCGGAGAAACGGCCCGGTCCGTAAACATGGCGGTGGTGCGACGGGAGAGGGGGAGACATCCCCTAAATACCGAACGTATATTGAGTTTTTTAATTTATCATTCCGCCGACGAATGAAATCGATATTGATGAAGTTTCATAACATTTGTTTTCACTCGCTTTACCGGCGATTATATAGAGATTGAGAAAGAGCAGAATCGAGTTCTCGACCAAATTCTAGGATTTTTTCCATCGCTCCACCGTAATTTGACCTGCGAACTGTGCGCGAAAGACAAAAGAAGAAAAAAAAGATGCGACGGCTTGCATTTCTGCAACAAGGTAAAAATCTTTGAGCAACTTATTATATTGCATGCGGGATCGACGTCCTTTTATCCTCAGCTGCAAACGTTACAAGGACGCTCCGATTACGTGCACCAGAATTGTTTATCTCGCGGCATGCGGGCCGAAGTTGCATCGCGTCGCCACAATTAACCGATTATACCGTATCACAGTAAAAAAAACATATATTTGTGTTAAAATCGGTTTTTGTTCAAATATTCTGTGTTTTTTTGAATTTTTGACATATCACGAGTGTATTAATGTAATGCAATTGTGTTATTTAAATATTTTTATTAAATTAAACATTATATTCAACATTTCTTATTATTAAAATAACATAATTTATATGAGTGAACAAATAAAAAAATAATTTATAGTTTAAAAAAATTTGTGTTAAAATGGAAATTTTAAGATAAATGAATAAAATATATACGTATTAGTCTGTATATTATAACTGTTAATTTTACTAAGGAAACAGGCCACAATTTATTTTCAATTTATGCCAAAGTGTTACATTTTTTGTGTTAATTTTTTACATATTATTTGTGTTACTTTCTAACATATTCATTTTGTATTAGATAAAAATTTGGACGGACACATCACATGAAATGTGTTAGGTTTAATATATGTACATCTTTCAAACAGCTGTAGTTACATGTCGAGATTGTATCATTGTAATTAAACTGCAATTGCGTCTTTTATCATCGATCCTAGAATTATTTCTCAATTTCTTATAGCCACTGACAGACGCTATACCGCCAAGTACAATTTTGTAAGTAATTTTGACGCATGAAATATCTGGACACAATGCGTGCACTTCGAGCGCGTCTTTTCAAGCGACTTCACATGTCATCATCGATGCGTCGCGGCGCATCGCGCGATGCTGATTTGCATCCTCGTGTCGGCTGGCTTTTCGCCGTTTCACCGGCTATATTCCGCCGATCGACCGGTAGTGAAAATGTGAAAACACGAAAAGCAAAAAAGCACGAGCTACATCCGGCAAACTCGAACGTACGCACCGCAAATACATTCGCGTTTAGGAGTCAAGAGTCAAAGACTTCGAGTTTATCTCGAAAGATACGTCAAGACGCTTCCACGCAATTATTTTTTAAATTAATCTTCTTCTGTTATCAGCTGATTCGAGTAATCAATAATGGCGCACAAGAGGCTCTTGACAAAACAAACTTTGGATAAATTGACAAAATACATATATGTAATATTACATATATTATTACAAATATATTTTATTATATATAATATATATATAATATACTATATATATGATAATTATATACATATTATATATTAATTGTTAGTGAGAGTTTGTAAAAAACGCGTATTGATAATAAAATATAAAATTGATTAATATTAATTTTATCATGTAAAGAGATCATTTCATTCTTAAGAGTGTTTTGAAAAATGTAACAGTAACGCTTATAAATCTTATAATATACAAATTACTATTAGGTCGATTAAATTATCTGCCCGATGGCCAAAAATATATTTACCCATTCTATGTATCGTATACACACATTTTATTATTTTTTTTTTAAGGAAATAAAATCGTGTTGTATAAGTATGACATCTACTAAAAAATTAGTCAAATCAATTTACATAAATATCTATAATTATGTATAAAATATATCCATATCTATTTTTTCTCTTGCATAATCTGTATTCGTATATATAAGAAAAATAAGAAATAGAATTGACAAATAATTAGAAGAACAATTTTCGCCATTTTTTTTTCGCGTAAAGGAAAGCTTCAGAGAATGATAAAAAACTTCATATATAATCATTCATGTAAAAATGTATTATTTATATATAAAATTATATACATAATTATATAGAATATTGTATAATCTAATCATAATTTTTGTTTCGTTAAAAGAAAAATAATGCAAAAATTATTTTTTAAATTAATGTTTAATTATTTTTATTTTTTCAATTTATTGATAAAGATTGTATGAGAGAAAAAAACATTGCTCAACGACAGCTAAAAAATTATCATTTTTAATTGCTTACAGAAAATGAATTATAAATAAAGAAAATAGAAAGAACATACTTGTATTCCTATATATAACCAGTTATTACATTAAAATTGCATTTCAAAATTAATATTACAAAATTTTAATAATTTAAAACATTGAAACTCATTTTCTTGAAATAAAATAACTTTATTTTTTAAGTCATGTCAGAAACGATAGTTTTGTAACAAACGGACGATGTATATGGACATGTTTTATATTTATAATTATATATTTTTTTACATGAAAAATTTTTTATTGTACGGAGTCAATCATATTTTCAAATTAATTCCGCAAGTAGATTAACGAAATTTTGTCAAAAGCTATAATTAGTTATAAAAAGATGTCTCTTAAAAAAATTTTAATTATTATCAGTATTAAAAATTAGTTAGTGATTTATTCTAAATAATAAAAGCATTAACAACAGTGCTTTTAATACTCAACAGTGATAAGTAATTAATCACTAATCAATTTAATACTTATAATATTAGATTTTTTTGAAGGATATACCTATATAAAACTAGAAAAATTGGATAAATTCAGCATGGAAATGATCATCCTGACCATTTCCGCTGCGAAAAAATCGTCTTCGATTTAGCCGAGAAAGCCAAGAGTCTTGTGAATTGTCTAAATTAATTCATATAGCATTCCATATATTTATTAAATTTCTCTAAAACTTATACAAAATGCTAAAAAAAATTGAATAAATGCAGTACGAACAATCCTCTTGACGATCATTTCCGTTGCCGAAAAAAATCGTCTTCAATTTGGAAAGGGGTCTCGTGAGTCGTCTAAATTAATTCATAGTATTTCATATGTGAAGTCATAAAGGCATTACTCCGCTACTTTCAGGACACATCTCGGCCAAGTGATTTCATGACGAGGAAAGGCGCGGCTCTTTTCGAAGAATCTTTTTGTGTCGTACAGCATTTATGATACATATTTATGTGTGTTTTACGGTGAATATAGAATATATGTTTAGACCCACGTACAGTAACCCAGATATGCTGCATGTCGCGGTGTATAACGTACGCTGTACAAACTCTGCGATTTTATTTTGCGACATCACGTGGCGTAAGAAGGAAAAAAAGGAGAACAGCGAAGAGAACACGTTCGGATGTATGCCGGCGTTTAAATCCCCGAGTGATGAACTCGCTGTGTTTGCGACGTGACGATTTTACGATCAGGCAATCCGCTCTTCCTCCTCCACAAAATAATACAGAAATTTTTCATTTTAAAAACGTTATTTTATAAGACATACAAAGATATTGCACGTACGCAAAAAAACCAGTTAAACCATATAATTATTCTATTTTGATAATTTTATAAGATGTATATATTATTTATCTTAGACTCAATTCAATTAATTTCAATTAAAGATCTATTTAAAAAAAAAACTACATGGAAAGAACAACTTTGCTAAAAATCTAAAATTTAACCGGATACAGATTGAAAATAATTTTGAATGTTGTGAACCATAAAAATAATTATGTTCGAAATTTAATTTTAAGTATAGCTGCGAAAAATTTTGATATTTTGGCAACCAAAGTTTGAGTTTCCAACATAATTATTTTGATAACTCAACATAACTATTTTCAAATCTGTAGCCAACTAAATTTTAGAATCTTTCAGCAAAATCGTTCTTTTCACGTAAAATTGTTAGAATTAATTATGAAAATATAATATATATATATATATTTTTTTTTGTAAGAAGATTAAGTTCAATTAACGATCGCCTAGATTTGGAATCAATTAAAATTTACAGCAACATAAAACAATGCGGCTTTCATGCGACCGTGGCTGGGTGTAATTCGTTGTGTTTTCATGAATCTGTGTCGCGGACTAATAAGACGGGAAATCATGCGAGGATCGCGCTACCATTAGACCGAGATCGGTCGTGTCGATGCGACAGATTCCACGGAGAATCTAAATCGCGAATAATGAATAATCCACGGAGCGGGTAAAAGTGGTAATTGTGTTCTGCCAGGTGAGCATCATAACCGTAATTAATTTGCGAGACATTAATGAGAAAACCGCGTGAGCGCGTGCGAGGCTTCGTTCCTTGCCAGTAGGTCACCGGGATCCCGGTATCGTTAGACAATCGGCGACGGCGACGGCAAAACTCTAATCCGAGAAAGTGAGAATCGGCACTGTGCACAAGGCGCGGAGAATTTACGAACGGCGGCCCGTAATTGAGGCCACCTTCGACCCGCGAAACGCGTGCGTCCGCTATATTAAAGCAAATTGAAATGAAACCGTTCGCGATCGGGCCGAGGACGCGGGGAATTTACTGAACGGCGAAGAAAAAAGAAGCTGCAGAAATTCCCGAAAATTTAATTCCAAATAAATATTTTTGAAAAAAAGAATAACTGTAATTACAAATCAATAGTCGGAATTTTAAAGAGCTATTGGTCCCGCAGTCAATAATAAGTATAATTATTTGTACTTAAAAATTTGACGCACAATCATGCATCTCAAACTCGTACTGGCTATTAATTTATAATTACAGTTACAAGCCAAAAAAATAAATTGGTTTGAATTGTATCATTTGAACGAAAGTAGCATCTCTCTTCGTCGCGTAATTTTCGTCTTTTGTATTTGGATCTCTCTCATGTCAAACATTAGTACGTCTCGCGGTACTTTATTTTTACATTTTGCATTAGTGCAAAACTTCGTGTATCGCATTCTTCGCGAATTTATTTAGTCTTTTTTTTGCCGGGCCGGAGAGCAATGGAAAAAACTTAGAAAGCGATCTCTTGGAAGATGCGCGTCACCAAGGAGATATGCAAATAGATCGCTTTCTTACCGTCGATGCACCGAGATTCACTCTGTTTTCACTTTTGAAATCTTCGTGAAATCTAATACTGCACCTACAGCAATCTACACTCGGATGTATCAATAATAATCCGGCCGTCACTGTTGCGTGACGCTCTATCTCGCCAATTCGTCCGAGCGGAACCGGATGGATGGCAGATCCCGCCTTCGTGACGGATCCATCGGCGTGTCGTCGGCACCCCGCGTTAGCGTTCGCTTCAGTTCGCATTCATTTACACTCTCGTGCGAGGGAAAAATTTCCTCGGGGAGAGATCGCAAATTTAGGAAGAATCTCTTCACTTACTCAGGACCGCTGACGAAGACATCTCCGTTCTAAGGGAAGTGGGAAAGGTTTATCCCGCGGATGGCATCCCTCGGCGGTAACGTGTTCGTCACAACGTCGCGGACGGCATTCGCGACACCCGGGGCACGAGAGACGCGGCGCCGAACTATTTTAGCTAAGAATTGTCGCGCGAGAGCGCCGGCGAGTTATGCATGGTGCGTCGAGAGCGGCAAGAGAAACAGAGAGAAAGAGAGAGAACGAGAGTGACAATTGTGGCGGGGAGAAGGCACGACACCGGTAGTAAAAAAAAAAAAGGAGAGAGAAGAGAAAGAAGAGATTGGCAAAAGAAGGAAGTGTGCAATCGCGGCTGCACGGGACAGACGGATGGACGGACGGACGGGCCCCGACGACGACTGTCCGTGAAAAGACCTCGACACACTTTACTCTCGACGGAGAATCGCGACCGACCGATCAGGCTTCGCTCGCGCGCTCACTCTCTCCCGTTCTTCCTCCTTCTTTCTCCGGAGGCGCCGCCGAGTCCCTGGTTCTCTTCAAGGGAAAGTGGTGCTCCTTCTACCGCCTTCCACCGCCGTCGCCGATACTCCGCCTTTCGATGACGATTCGTCACGAAACGACGATGCGCAGGAATGTCCCCTGGGTCCATCCGGCGCGCGAGTCCGTCTTCTTTTGGAAATTTCGCGTGTCGTCCGGGATCGCGATCGTTTCGTTTCACGAGAAATGCGAGAATACATCTTCGTTTCCGAATCGCATCCTCGTTTGGAGACGCTGGAGAAAGGAAGTGAGATCCAAGCGCAGAAAGCCAGAGTACTTAGTGTTGCCTAAATTTATTTATACGTTGCTGCTTTGCGACCGCGTCGCAAGTCCGTTACATCGAGTTCCTGCGTTTCGCTGTTATAAAGTAGGCGGCAGCTATATCGCATTACTCAATACATACAATTTTTCTTTCACGATCCCGCAATCCAGTATACAAATTTCGGTCAAATTCCGATGGAGAGAAAGAGATAGAGAGAGAAAGAGAGAATGCTTCTCTTCGACGAATACAAGAAATTTATGCGATGCAACATCCTTTATCATAATTACTTGTTCGCTATTATATGCTATTAAAACAAACTCGTTAAAATAAACAGGTGCACTTATAGCCTCTACGTCCCTCTCGATTAAAGTCAATCCGCGTCTCGGATGACGACAAGAGTCAATCCATGAGCCGATCGACGTCTGCAAAGCAAATGAATGGCGCGCAATTTACAAACCGATAGGAAAATAAGTCGCATTTCACCACGCAGGGACATCTCAGTGGAATCTATTAACACATGTACAAAAATGTCCGTTATATAGATATATATGAATACGTTAGAAATGTGTCGCACGGTATGAATGGGCACACATGTAAGAGAAAACGACAAGGAGCGCGTATAATTGCAAATTATGACGAGTGTGTGCTCTCCTTGGGTATCAATTATGCACAATACGAGCTTTATATAAAAATTGACATTTTGTTCGACCGCAGTAAAACGTGACGTCGATAAAATGTAGTGTGTACATGATTTCTTTTTGATCGATCAATCTAGGTGCGGAAACGGAAAAACATTTCTGATGAATTTTTGGAATTCCTATATACTTTCAAGACCGGACATGCTGCAATTCGCGCAATTAATTAACGTGCAATTCGTCGCGCGGTTTTTATCCGCGCGCGTTAAACTACTCTGGTAGCCTGGTAAGGTAGTCGCTAAGAAGTACGGAGAATCATCCCCATCCCCGCGAGTGAATTCTGGTATTACTTGAACGAATGTTCGTGACCGCGAAAAGTCGCGCAGTCCGATAATCAGTATTTTCTCATCGGCATCGATGATTTGTACGCCTCGAACCGCTCGTACGACGGCGCCGTCCCAGGCGCGGTCAGTCCCATCGACTGCATCGGCCCGCTCTGATATGTCGGCGGGATCGGATGCCGCAGCGTGTTTCCCATGCTGCTCGAGTTGCTCCACCTGCGAAATAAGCGCAGTCTTATGTTATTTGGTCATTGGATAAGAGATTTTAATTAGGGCTTCTAAATATTTGGATATCCAAATATCCGGAGATCGGTTTGGATTCGAAAACTCAAAACCGAATTATTCTGATTATTCGGATATCCGAATTATTTGGATCTGGATCTAAGTTCAGATTCGAATCTGAATTCGTCGTCTTACACACGCTTCCAACAGTTATACAATATTAGGTACAACGTCAATAAAATATAAATAAAATAGAAATAAGATAAATAAAGTGGACCTAACTCGAATTCAAAATCTGAAATCCAGATCTGACACTTCTATTATTCGGGTTCTTCGAAAATTCGAGTATCCAGATAACCCGAATTTGAGGCATCACATTTATTCGTAATCCGGATAAACGGATATCCGGATAGCGTCAAATTCGAACAAATCTTGAAGCCCTAATTTAAATGTCTCGTCGTGCGACCTTATCGCACGAATCGTAGTGTCGTAGAACAAAGTGATAAAAAAATCACACGCGCTGAAAGGTTATGCATGTGTGAATCAACTAGCTTACCTGTTAACGCTATCGGACGATCTGGAGCTCCAGCTGGAAGGCTCGTTGCGGGGATCGCGAGATCCGCTGCTCGTCACGGAGTTAAAGGATTTTGAGGATGTAGCTCCCGAATGCCAACCACTGGGCGTACGATTGCTTTCCACATAACGACTTTCACCTGCATACAACAATAGCACGCAAGAATGAATAAAGACGGTAGTTTTATTAATTTACTATAATTGCAACATATGTCTTTCTCTCTTTCTTTCTCTCTTTGTGCTTTGTAAGGGTACATATAAAAGGATTAAAATGTTCGCCAGCAAGAATAAAAATTAGTTACACAATCTTATTCAAATATAATTCAGAATTTTATTACATTAAACTCTGCATTCGTATTACTTGGTATGCTTTATAATAAAAAGTATATTAATACTTTCGCCGATATGATAGGCACAATTGGCGCGTGTTCGCATCAAATATCGCGCACTCGTTAGACAAATCAGAGAAATTTTTGTACATTACTGCTTTCATATCCCGTTTATTGAATCAATAGCAGGTTCAACTAACTACAATGAAAACTCAACAAAAATCATATAAACTTTTATTATGAAGCATACACATATTTATAAAAGAGAATACAGACTGGATTTGAAATAAGATAACAAATTTCGTTACAAGATCTTGATTTGAATGTATAAAGGGGTGGTAATATATATCAAAAATTAAAAAAACTTGGATCATTGCTTAAGGCTCCTGCCTAATTACCGCGGCCATATTAGACTCGTGATAAGCGAGAAATAGCGAGAAATGACACATAAAAGTTTGTTGCGTGCCATTTTTAAATAAAGAGAATTTGGATAAAATTAGTAAATAGGATCGCTTTAGAAAACTTGTAAAAATTGATGGAAACTATCCTTTTTTTCCCTGAAAGTTAGTAAAAGGCACGTAAAGTGAAGCTTATTCAGGCAAGAAAACTCACGATTTGACAGCTGTTGAAAGGAATAGAAAAGATACTTTTACGTATAAAATTCGATAATAACTATAGTTTCTATCCATTTTTACGACTTTGATAAATACGAGACAAGTCATATTTTCACAATTAAGCATATAATAATGAAATGGCACACAACATAAAATTTCGCCGTCAACTTTTCACAATAGGTCCGTTATTCTCTTCAAATCGTGTATTCCTTCACATTCGACCGTGATTGATAGATTTTTACTGCTTACGATATCGACATACAACTATTTTGTAGAATTATCACGATTTACAACTTATAATACCAAAATATGACGTATTATAGAATGAGCCTAATATGACAAACAAAGCTTCTAATTTTTACTGCGATATAGTGCCGCCATCGTCAACGCGGAGTTCGTGGCTGACTAGGCAGGAGCCTTAATCACTAATACGAACTTTTTTAATCTGAAATTATTAGGATCAAGCATAATTCTATTTTCAATTTCTCTTTGTGTCTATATTCATTTGTCAATATATTTCTTAATAGCAATCAAATAACTTTAATTTTAATTTAAACAAAAATATTTTTCCCAGAATAAATTTCACTTTAACTTCTAATAATAAGCCTTAACATAAATTTATATATCTATATTATTAGAAGCTATATTTAAATATAGCTTCTAATAATAAACTTTAACTATAAATTTATATGAAATTAATAAGCAAACTTAAACATAAAATTATTTTAATCATAAACAGTAAACAATAATTGTTTGTTTAATAGAAAATCTCTTGACAAAAAAGTGCTGGGTTTAAGGTATAAAAAGAAATATTTATATGCATATATCGACAAGTGTCATCGAAAATTAAGCTTTTTAAATAAGCATTTTAAATAACATCTCCATTATATTTGGCTAATTTTTAATTTCGTCTATTTTATAACTTAGTTATAAATAACGATCGCGCGTAACTATATAAGCTATTCCTATATTTGAAAATGTTTGGCACTTTAAAGCATGATCTGTAAGATATATATTCTTCCTATCTTTGAATATTTTCTTTACAGCATATCTGTATCATAAACTATAAAATATTTTTGTATAATATAGATAAAATCCATTTATCAAAATCATCAAAATTGTTTGCGCGAAAGATGTATAAATTCTGAGGAATAAAGATATCTTTCTCTTATATCGTTTACTCAATTTTCCTAACTTTCCTCTCTTTATTAAAAGTGATAAAATTAAACTTTATATTTCTTAAACTTCAAAGATTTCGTTAAGTTTTCAAACTTATTTTGAATGCATATTTCACTAGTATAATATTTGTGAATATTAAGATATGTAATTTAACAGCGCTATCTAATTTTACATTATTCATTGTATAACGTCTAAGAATTTCAAATTAACAATACTGTACGAAACGAAAAAAATAAATTTACGTGTGTGATAGCAGGTCGTGTGTATACACTCTTCTCTGTCAGAAATGTTTCAAGGTTTCATGGAAGATGTTTTGGCTACTGTATTGCATCCTTACTTAAACTTATTCTTATATCCTGTGTACAAAATTAAAGAACAACCATCTAAAAATGGCTCAGTGTGATATCAGTGTTATAAGAGTGAAAAAAAGTGGAATAAAAACTCGCGATTGTCGTATGTACTAAAGCCATCTCTCATACATACATGGTGCATCATACTTACGTGGCGTACTAGATGTCGGAGGTTTGAAACTATCGCTGTATCGCGTGTGAGTGTCTCTCGAGCTACGATGCGTCTCGGGATCGGAACGTCGTACTTCGCGCTCGCGAGTGTAGGATGTGGTATTCGGACGTTCGTATCTATGTAAATCCAAACAAAAAATTTAATTAAAATTTCAACGAAATACAAAATAGCACTCTACCATTTTACGACACTTAAGAGTACACGTACCTCTCCTTGACTTGTCGAGGATCCAGGGACGAGGATGTGGTGGATAGACTTTCTCGTCGTACGATAACTTCTCTTCCCCGGGAAACATCGGAAAAGCTGTCCGGTCGACTATTCCTCGAAGAGAAATCGCTACTTCTCTTGAATTCCTTTTTCAACCCCAACTCTTGAGTAGATCTGAAATAAATTTCACTGCGTTAATGCAACTATTATATTGTCCAGAAATCTCGTGTGAAATTTTGAATCGCCAATAGCGATAGCACATATCGCAAAGAACGGTATTTTAACCTTCGGTTGTCATATCTTTTTTTTCAATCAAGTTTATCATTTGGGTTATCTATTTGTCAAACTAAATTTTAAAAGGCTGCCGTTTAAAAACTAACAGTTTAATTAGATCGCAAAATCTTAAATAGAGTTCGAACATTGTAGAATGTATTCTGATTGTATAGAATTTAAAATTAAAGTGGCATCATATTGAACAAAAATTCTTAAAAGAAAGTTTTAAAAAAACCCATTACCCAAAATAAAAAGTTGAAGTTTGATCATTTTGTCAAGTGTGACAACCGAAGGTTAATAATTTTAATAAAAAAAAAAAATTGTTCGAAAGTTTACCTGCTAGATTCGTATCGAGACGGCGGCGAGGGATCCAATCGTCTATCCGACACTCGCTCCAGCATCTCGTTTCGCCTGTCGACAATTCTGTCCGGGCTGTGTCTGCGACTGTGTTCCGTGGCTATTCGCTTTCTGTCAGACTCCACGTACAAATCTCGCGGATCTCTCCTGTCGGAGGACGATCTCTTTATAGACGGCGGCGGTGGCGCGCGTCGGCTCTCCTCCAAGCGCATCTGCTGTCTCTTCAATTCCAATCTCTCGCGCTCGAGCTTTTCCCTCTCAAGCTTCTGCCGCTCACGCTCGAGTCGCAGTAATTCGGCCTTTTCCTGCTCGATCCGTTCCCTCTCTCGTCTCAACTTCTCGCGTTCTCTCTCCAAGTGCGCAGCCTCCTCGCGGTGTCTGCGCTCTATCTCTCGTTGACGTTCCATGTCCTCCCTTCTTCTTCGTTGCTCCTCCCTCAGCATCCGCTCCCTTTCGCGCAATCTTTGCCGCTCACGTTCTTCCTGAAAATTCAAGATGTTGCTTATTCTTTTACATGCATTCGTTCTCAATACCGACGGTTTTATCCAGTATCAAAGTAGATATTTACTCTGATTTTAGCAAATGTGAGAACATCATCACGCTTCCGTCGTTCGCGGCTCCGCGAACGACTGTGAGACCGGTGATCCTTGTCCCAAGTACGAATCCGTTTTTCCTCTCGCCTTCCTCTCTCGCTTTCCGGTTTCTTGCTAGTAGATTTTATCGATCGAGAATCGGACTCTTTAGATGGATCTTCCTTCTTGTCTTGCATTTCGATTTTCTTCAGTTCGGCACTCTCATTTTTGTCATCAGATTTTTTTGCTAAACAAATATAATAATCGATTAATGCATACAGTAAAACTGTTATTATTATTATTATTAATATTATCAGAAGTTAAAAAAAAATAATTTTTCTCTATTATCGTAAAGAAATAACACTTACTGGCATCTGATACTTTCTCTTCAGATTCCTTCTTTATTTCCTTTTCCTTTCTTTCGTTTATATCATGATCCTTCGGCTTTTCTTTCTCCTCTTTTTTCTCCGATTTACCATTAACTGTATCACGTTTACGTACGTGACTTTGTTGCGTATCACCTTTCGCCTGTGGGAAAATTTATAAATATGGTTAAATGTTTTTTTTCTTTTTGTATAAGAATGTCAAAGACTTTATTTTGACGTAATATCAAAAGATATCATAATTTACCTTCTCGACGGAAATGACGCGTCCGTGAAGCTCGGTTCTGTGCAGATGCTGTATACATTTCGCAGCATCTTCGCTCGAAGACATGGTGACGTAACCGTAACATCTTGCTCCAGGTGTTTTCGCATTTGTCACCACTTTTGCGCCTATGACCTTACCGTACTTCGAGAAGATCTGCTTCAAATCGGTCGCACGAGTACTGGACGACAGGCCAGACACCCATAGATTGCGACTGCTTGCATTGGTGAGACTGATCTGAGATGTCTTTTTATCTGCGAGGAATATATGCGCATATATTACACAATAAACGTAGGATTCTATAAAATCTGCAATCCCCATTTCTTTTTATTAAAAAAAAGCACTGCATTCTGTTAAACAAAAATCGCTTACCTTTCTCTTCTCTTTTTTGACCCTTATTGCCAGACTCCACACTGAAAGGGATAATATTGTCATTATGTCAGAAACTTAAACATCTCTCACAATAATTCCAATTACAAATTAGGATTATAAATGTGCTTAAATAAGTATCTCTGTAACTATGTTAAGGACATAAATTTGGCTAGCAACTTATTTTTAGATGCTACGACCTAAATATTTTCTTTTTTGGGGGAGGGGGGAGGGAGAGGATAAGATTTCACTCGAACACCATCTCGAATATTATCAGTTCTATTCAGATTATTGGTCTGTATTCACTGTGTTCTCCGTTCATCCACTTTTGTCACTCATACATAGGCAAAGCGCGTCCATGTGGCAAACAGCTTTAAGTATCCACGAAAGGGTCATCTGCTGCATAGTTCTTCTGACAGGATACCTCTTGCCATAATCGGGAGTTTTTTAACGCTTTTTCTCTCGTTTTTTTTTTTAAGGTAGTAGCATCTTCAGTAAGCAATAGGATTGCTTCTTGATAATACGAGGACTAGCACACGCTTTGTCGAATATAATTTACCATAAGAATACTAATGTCCTTTGTATAGCGACGCACGATGAAACCGCTGCCCCATTCAATAAAACGAATAAATGCCCTCGTCGTGTAGGGAACACAGCACACAGAGCTCGTCAGAAGTTTCGTTTTTTTTTCTTGGTACAGAATACACGTGTGATCGCTTTTATTGAATATGCGGAGGAAAATGCAAGCGACATTCGAGAGAGACTAGTTTAAGTTTGCTAGCCAAGTTCTTGATTTCTTAACATACTTTCCAGAGTTAAGAATTACAGCCTAGTGAGTGAGGGCACAAGACTGGAAGATTTAACTTCCCGAGATTCGATTTAAAAAAAAAAAGGGAATTAAACATAATCTTGCATGTGTGACGTGAGTGTGATCTCATCTTGGAAATCCATTGTCCTGACGGTACAGAGAGAGATATAGAGAGAGAGAGAGATATCATCCCGATGATACGGTTTATGCAGCAGCAGAACATCCCTAGCAGAGTCGTGAGCGAGACATATTTCCAGTTTGCCGTACCACAGTACTGCGAACCGTTTTTTTTTTTAGCTCTATGAGAGAGACCAACCTCTTGCTTCCTCCATCACCACCCTCCTGCTTGATCTTCGTCCCGTTCGCGCCGGACGTCGTCCCTTCCTTGCCGCCGGTGCCAGGTTCCGCTCTACCGCTGCCTTTCGAGTCTCCCTTCTTGCTGTTCTCTTCCACTTTCTTCTTCTCTCCACCATCTGCGGGGACAATCAAGGTAGCATAGTCACTTTCTGCGAAGCTCAGACTCTTCTCCCTCCCTCCTAACATCTCCTGCTCTTTTAGTGGCTTGTTGACTTCCAGTCAGGAATTTCGGCCAAGTCACTAAGAAATTCACACGGCAAGTAACTTGTGGCCTGCACGATATTTACGAGCGCCACCGATCTTCGATCCGGCATCGGTTCGATCCAAGGAACCTAAAGCTTTCTCGTCGGGTTCTACGTCGGGTTTTATGCGCGCAAAGCTACCTTTGCATTTTCTTTTCACAAAACTTTTAAATTGAAAATCAAATTGCAAAAAAAAAAGAAGAAAAGATAACGATAAATGGATCGTTTATCATTTTTGTAAATTCGTATTGCTGAAAATAATTGCGACAGATTACTTATTCTCGCGCGTGCGGAAAACGTGCCCGAATTTATACGCGCGATACACGGATTCGTCGAAGTGGCACGAATGATTTCGAAGGTGTACTGGGTCAAACCTCATATGTCGTGTGATAATTTATAGTTTGCGGTAAATATTTTGCTGATGTATATACTTGAATTCTTCCTGTATCCATATGATTCGATGATAAGCAAGATCCAACGATGCTCTACGTGTGGTAGGTATAATTAATGTAATTGTATATCAAATTATAGCGTTAACTAACTTAAAAACTACGGGATACGAGTTTTCGAATTCGCTCGAATGAAGCAGCACGGGTATGGTCGGGAGAGATGTACACTGTTTCATCCCGATTGAAAAACCTTATCGATCGCCATGCGTTTATCCCATGATCAGAAAACGCCTTATCTGTCACCGGCTTGCGGCTTCAATGAGTAGTACGCCACGTCTATCGTGGCTGCGCAATATCGCATCCGGAATGTTGAAACAAAGTTCACGACGACAACGACGACGACGACGACGACGACGACGACGATGACGACGGCGACGACGACGACGACGACGACGGGCTTGAAGGGCTGGAACTCATAGGACGAGGATGACATTGGTCGCGGACGATCCCGACGTCGCCCTTGTTCCACGAACGGTTGCATGAATACGGTTCTTGAAGACGCTTGCTCTTGATACTGGCGCTTTCGCTAACTTACTCAGAATGTCGCAGTATGCAAATATCTCACTAGCCTTGATACTTTAAATACTTATGTCTAAATAAAAAAAAAAAAAAGAAAATAATGGTGAATTTACCTTTGTGCCTGTCGTGAGACTCTGTCTGCAATAAAAAAAAAACATGCGTTAGAAACAATTTAAAAAATATATAATTTTTTGATACTATCTTTGGAGTAGGGCTGATTTGCTTCAAAGGCTTCGACATTCGAACTTTGAAGATTCGAAGTTTCAAAGTTAAAAAAATACATTCGTGCAAATGAATTTATTCAGAAAATTTACAAATATTGTAAATAAAAAGAATTAATATATATATATATGCTTAAAAAATATATATAATTATTTCTAAAAAATTTATAAGAAAATATTACAACCCGAACTATTACAAATTAATAATTAAACTTGATACATATGTAAACAAGGAAAAATATACAATGATTAATAAAATAAATTAACCCTAGGTATACAGTTTTTTTTACAATGTCGTAAAAACATTGGGGTCCCGGGGATCCCAGTGTGTATATCTAGGGTTAAGAAAATTAAAAAAATAAAAATAAAAATAAATTTAATCTTAGAAAATTTAAAATCGTGAAATTAATAAAAATTAATTCTTTCATAAAATTTGCACAAATATATTTTTCGAAAGTTGTTCTTTGAAGTTAATTTTAAACTTCGAAGCTTCAAATATTCGAAGTAAGTAAAAAGTAATAGCCCGATTTTGGAGTTAATTATACATAATTTCTCGAAAAATTTCTTTTCTTCCTTGAATCATACCTCCTCAGCTAGGAGATTCTCCTCATCTTCTCCTATAGTCAAATTTATGGAGTCCTCATTGTCAATTCCGTTAGCTTCAACAGTGGCAGACGGCGCATCTGGAGTTTGATTCGAGATAGTCTTCTCTACCTCACTTTTCTTCTCGTTGTTCTGTACACTTTCGCCCGCAGCCTTGATTCCTGGCATCTTGTCTTCCAGTTTTTCCACCTTAATAATAATAGTTTTAATTTCAAGTTCGGGGGGTTCCTAAGTGAAAGGAAAGTAAAATAAATTGTTAATTGTTATGAGAAATAGATTCAACAAGATCTATTCTAATTAATCTAATTAAAAACTAAAATATCCATATATATGTAATACCTCCTTTATTTCTTTCTTGATAGAAATTTCTTTCTCCTCAGATTCTATCTTTATTTCTACCTTACTTTTATCTATATCCTGTCCATCAACATTTTCGTCCTTTATCAAAGTATCAGAGCACTCTGATACTCTGTCAGTAGAATCGTCTTGACTTATAGCTCCTGTGACGATAAAAAAAGTTCAACAAATGATAAAAACCTTTCATCTCAACTCAACATGTTGAAATCCATATAGGACATACAATCCGGGCCAAAAGTTTGTAAACATCGATAAAAATGTAAACATTATAACGCACAACTACAACAGACAACTAATACTGATAAAAACATAGGTAAACATAGACCATTTTGATTTTACGCAATAATTATTGAATATGTAAAATTATTATTGAAAGATTTCATTGTTATATTGAGTAAGTAATCTCAAAAATCTATTCTTTACTAAAAAGTCTATTTTTAAGTAACTAATCGATATTTGCTCCGAAATTTCTTTAATTGGTATTCGCGGTTTTAGCTCAACAAAATTTTAAATTAATATATCTCTGCTTAAAGTTTATGTAATTGAACTTTTTTTTTATTTTAAAGGTCAAAATTCGCAGAATGTCATATAATTTAAAATTATGTAAAGTTGTGAAAAACATCTTAAAAACAAATTTTCATAATGCTATTTGAAAATTTGGTGTAATTAAAAAAAATGTCCAGGTCCACTGGACCCACAAATTCCGATTAGAAAAATAAAATTATAAAAATTTTCCATTTTTGACCTGGAGTATATCTTAATATTCTACTAGAATCTACTTTCGTTAATGATACATAAAAATATATATATACCACCATTTTTTCTTGGAATGATTTTAGACGGCCCACCAGATGGTATGATAAGATACTCCTCAGGATTCTCGCCTTCGTCCAGTATCGCCTAAAATTATTCCATTTTAATAAAGCTAAAGAACTTATAGGAAGAGATATAGATCAGTCAGAACACAAAAAGAATGGGTGATAGGCAAGTCAAATTATTGTAAACCAAAGCTCTCTTCTTGACTTGAAGTGAATTAATTCTATTATTCCATTTTATAAGTTTGCATTTATAATTTCCATTACAAATGCAAGACTCCTCATCGGCATGGAAGGACTTAATTTCATCCAACAAAAAGAATGTCCGATTCAAATAAATGCCATGTCATGTCTGAAAGTTTAACTTATCATTTTCACTTTCCCCAGTTTAGTCAATTGTAGGGCATTTACATAATACTCTTCTTACTCTTTTAATCGGCGCGCTAATACAGTCAAGGAGAAAGCAATCATTTATTTAAAGACGCTGGTAAAATCAAATCATCCATCTCCCTCCTCCCAGTAGTAGCCTGTCGATCGGATTGCGCAACCTTTCGACAAGCTGTTCAGCACCAATTTTTTAAGCGGGCTGTTAGCAACAGGAGGGCATCTTTACTCGAGCTTCGAATGCGCAAATAGAGATTGAATTGAAGATTAGCGTGAACGCGCGCGGCACGCGCGAACGCGGACTCGTTAAATCGACGACATCGATGGCGATAGACTGCCGTTGGAGCATGAATGACAATCCGAGAATTCCGTGATCCGTGCGTGAAAAATCAAAGAGGAAGGAGGAAAGGGGGGGAGGGGAAATGACTGCAGATATCACCTTAGAGAGCCGTTCGAGGAGCGCCGCTTTGTTGCCGGATTTGTCCAGACCGCGACGTTCCAACTCCGTTTTGAGGTCTATAACCCGGAGCTCGGTCAGCTTTTTCCCTTCCACATCGGCCATTGTACTACCCGACCCGCAACGATGATCGCTCGTGAGGCGAGGTGTACGTGCGGCAATCAGCGGGGCAGCGGCGGTGCAGGCTTGAATGTCAACACGTTCCGAGTCTCCGTGCGAGGATCGCGATGAGTAAACGATTTGCAAACTATAGCTCAACTACGAGCAGAGGATTCTGAAAACACGAAGAACAGACACGCTTTCGAGAACTTTTCGATGCACTATCAGTTCACCGTATCAGAAGCGAACGAGAGCGAGAGGCCATTGTATCTACCCATGATGCAAGCATGTATAGTAGAAATACAAGGGTATGCTCTTGGTAAAGCCAGACAACCAATGAGAATTGCAGCTTGTACGTCATCATTACGTGGCAAATTCAAACGCTTAAAAATGAAATTAATGATTATGGTAGCGTCAATACATTAAGAAATAAGCGAAACGATTTCACGAGAATGATAAGTAATAAATATTATTGTGTCATATCAGTTTATATATTCCACACATGTAATTTTTGTAAAACGAACAAATGTATTATGTAAATGAATGAAATTAAGTTAAACAAACTGAAATGAAAGAAATAATGAAATTACAGTACCTAAAAAATTATGAAAGTTTTTGGAAAGGAGAAGAAAACCGTAGTCGTATAAAATTATATGAGAAACTCAGTTTAATTATTTATGAATTTAGACACTTTCTTCTTGTTTTTTTCTAGTTCTATTTTGTAACGATATTTCGCGGTTAATTTCTCGTACTTGGATGTACGTACATATACGTTCGCGTCCTTATCAGACATAAAATTACCTCTGTAAAATTTTAATACAAACTGTATACAATAATTGTTTTTGAAAGAATCATGAAGTAAGAATTTCATACTTCATGGAAAGAACATACAAAATTTAAACAAGCATATGCGCCCGCAATACCAAACGGCTCCAAGGTCCGCCGTCTGGCCGTCTGGCCGTCTGGCAGCCATATTTTAGGCCTGTTCTACAATACGTCGTGTGTCGAGTCGTAAATCGTAAAGCCAGGAGCACAGATTTTTGTATAAAGGTGCCTTTTCATACGCAGCACGCAGCAAAATGTCACGTAATTCAAATTTTTCAAAACCGCTTCCGCCGCATTTGCTGCGCATGAAAAGGAATTTGCAGCAACAATATATTAAAACATTTAACCTCAATATAAATATAAGTATATATAGCGACATAATCGCAAAATCCGTTCCGCAGGTTGACACTGCGGGTCGCTTATACGAGACGAAATAGAAATAAAAGTTTGATAATGTCGTACAATTAAAAATTGTATCAGTGGCATATATAGAGAATATGCAAAAGTCTGTGGGGCTGTCTACAATACGTCGTATGTCAGATCGTAAGCCGTAAATCGTAAGAATTGACCAATCACAGTTGAATGTAAGAAAAATATTCGATTATGATTGGTCAATTCTTAGTTATTATGATATGAGTAGTGACTAACGGCTTAAGGTCCATCTACAATGAGAGTAGTAAATCGTAAGCCGTAAGAAATTGACCAGTCACAATCAAATATGAGAAGAATAATCGACTGTGATTGGTTAATTTCTTACG